CTTTCTGCTTATATACTATAAAAATGTAATGCTCAAATTTTGTTTTTTTAATGTCAGCAATTTTTGTTGAATTTTTGCAGCATTTTTTTAGCATGTTATGATGCAAGACCTACTTGTTTTCTAATATATTTTTACCAATAATAATTAAAATAGCAATTTATGCTTGACTATTGCCGCAGTTCTACTAACATAATATGCAACACACAATTTACAATACGTGCTCTTGACAAGTTTGGCTATCTGGGGCGCGCGCGCGCGCTTTACTGATTGTTTTGCGGGATATCCTGAATCTGTTGGAGATCTAAGAGTATATCAGAAATAGCGATCTATGGCATGCTGTCCATGAAAACAGAAATTACTTCTTTCCAGACCAAGAGTATATCATTGGTGATAAAGCGTATCCTGTGTTAGGATGGTGTTTGCCTCCATATAGAGATAATGGTCATCTTACGAGGGTAAGAAAATAAAAATGATTATGAGCTAAAATTTTATTGAAATTAATTCGCTGAAGGAAATAAATATTCTATTTTTCTATATTAATTTTCTATATATTGTTTTCAGATACAAAAAAATTTTAATAAACACATTAGTAAAACTAGGCAAGTTATTGAGCGAGCTTTTTCGTTGTTAAAAGGCAGATTTCGACGTTTAAAATATTTACACATGAGTCGAGTTGATCTGATTCCAGAAACTATCATAGCATGTTGCGTACTTCATAACATATGTATTGATGGTTGTGATGACGATATTGAAGATATGTTAAATGATGATATAAATGATGAAATGAATATAGAAGATAATAATGGAATAAATGCAGAACAAAACGTGGAAGGCATTAATAAAAGAGATTACATAGCTCAAACATTACAGATAGTGGATGAGCAATAATTAACATGCCTGTTTATATGCCTGTTTATATGCCTGTTTATTTGCCTGTTTATATGTATTGCAAATAAATTACAAGTGTGATTAAATAAAACTTTTATTTTTAATTATTCACATGCGTTTTACAAAAATTAATACTTTCGCAATTGTACTTTTATATATAACGCAATTATTAACGCATATTCAATAATAACACAATAAAATTTGATTATTTTTTGGTTATAAATATTTAATGACTGACTATTAGAAACTAAAAAGAACTTTGGCACTTAATTGTATATCACAGAGTAGTTTTACAGTTTTATAGTAAATTAAACTCCTTTTGATTTAATAACATATGCTTTTCATAAACTTTCAGTCATTCTTTTTTAATTCTTACAACTAGAAAAAGATAAAGGAAAAACGTAAGAAACAGATAATTAATCTGTCGTGAAAATGTTTTTAGGCTTTTTAGACTTTAAGGAATTTAAAACATTTAAAAAACTTACAACTACAGTTTCTCAATTAATTTTTCAATCATATTTCAAAACGTTTTTTTTGTTTTAAATATTTAACTGTTAGGAACTAAAAAGAAAGCCTTTGGCACTTCGTATATCACAGAGTAGTTTTATAGTAAATAAACTTTTGACTTAGTAACATATGATATACTCTCTTAATATACTTTCAGTCTTAATTTTTTAAAAATTCTTTTAACTAAAAAAAGATAAAGAAAAAAGAAACTGAGATAATTAATCTGTTATAAAAATGTTTTTAGAAAATTTGAACAAATTTAGAACATTTAAAAAACAACTAAAGTTTTTCAATTAGCTTTTCCATCATATCGCGGAACGTTTTTGTTGCATCAGCAATAGCAGCTATTTTTTCTTTTTGTCGTTCCTCACGTCGATTTTCTTGTTCCTTAGTATGTTCGATATATTTGTCCGTCCACGAATGTAAGTGCCGTTCGACCTTACTTTTCTTTCGTATATGCAATTGATCATCTTCCACTGTACAGCTATTATCTTTTGAACACAATGCTATTTCATCTTCGATTTTCATGCTTGATGCAGTTGCAATTGGAGTAACATTTGGTTTATCTCCAAATAAATCATCCATTTCATTATAATATCGATATGTTTTGGGTGCAACACCTGTTCTTTTATTGTGATCTTTGACTTTCATATAATTCTTCTTCATATTCATCCATTTATCTTTTATCTGCACCCTGGTATAATTATACCCTTCGTCACTCTTCATTCTCATTCGAATTTTGTCCCACACGGCATCATTTTTAATACAGGTGCTTTTAAAATCATCTTGATGATCATTATACAAAAAAAATAAAAGCTTTACGGAATTATCATCCCATACTAAAAATTAAAAGAAATTAATAAAATATTTATAGCTGTAACTCATAACCCACATTTTATTTATTTTTATGTATTTATTTCAATTCAATAAAAAAATATTAATAATTCAATAAAAAATGTTCAATTCAATAAAAAAATAATTCAATAAAAAATTTTCATTTCAATAAAAAAATTAATGTTTCCTTTTCCACATACCTGCACTGCCTGGTTTCGATGAAGCTGCTTGGCTGCTACTACTATTTGAACCTGAAATTAAAACAATTCTTTAATAAATAACATATATTTATTTTTTGTATACAAAGATTATAGATAATTAATAAATCCCATAAAAAATCTTTTTAAAAAAAGAAAAAATATATGCCAAATACATAAAAAATGTTACATTCTTTCTAAAACTAACAATTTTTTTATAAAAAAAAAAAAATAATAATGTGATATGAAATCATGTAAAATAATATAAAATCACACAAGAGAGAATTAATAGCATACAAATCCAACTGACCAAATAACGCTTGTCTTTAATTAATTAAAATTTATTATTTACTAATTATTAATATTACTTACATGAGCTTCTGACTTGTGTTTTCTCTATATCATCTGCAGTTTGAGATTCTTTTGTTGAAAGATCAAAAAATGATAGAACTTCAGGTGATATTGGTACTTCCAAAAGCGATTCACCTTAAAAATATACATAAGAATACAATAAATAACAAAATTTATAAATAATTTAACTTTCTGCATACTTATAATTTTTCTACATTACTAATATACTTACTAATTTCATCACAAATCATTAGTCCACCATTTGGGCCAATAGTTATATCTTTATTTTCATTAAGCGCTAAGCAGTGTCGTCCTTTTATAAGACCGACATTGCTTAGCATGTTGGCCTCAGTCATATTTATTCTGATTACGTATGTCTCAGGAATGAAGGAGAAGCCTTCCAATGAGGAGCTGAAAGGATACATTGATAAATACTGATACTAATAAATCCGCAAAATTATTAGATATAATAAAATTAATGGAATAAAGATTCTCACCTTCGTCTTAGGTTATACGGCAGCCATACACTACAACTAGACTCTTGCTTTTCCCCCACGTTTTACCTTGGGTTTACTTTCACAACCTCTTGATTTTGAGAGGTCATAAAAGTTAACCCTATGGTCGACTAAACTACCATTTTGGAACGCTATTACAAGTCGACCATGAACCGACCATAATGATTTTGGAACGACCTACAGTAACTAGAGTCCTAGATTATCAGAGAAGCGCGACCGGCTTATGGCAGTATCGTAAAAGTACTAGAAAATATTAAAAATGGACGTCGAATGGCCAATCATAAGATTGATTTATTCGACAGCCATTTATAATACCGATAAATCAATCTTATGATTGGCCATTTGCAAGTCCAATCAGGACTCGTAACATCGGTCGCGCTTCTCTGATAATCTAGGATTCTAACAGTAACTAAGGTTGGATTTTGGAACGTACCCCAGAGAAGCGCGACCGGCTTATGGCAGTATCGCAAAAGTACTAGAAAATATTGAAAATGGCGTCAAATGGCCAATCATAAG